TATCTCTCGCCGTGCACAAAAGTTAACTCAAAATGGATCAAGGAGCTTGATATTAAATCAGAGACACGGCATCTGATAGAAGAAAAAGTTGGTTATGATCTACACGCTGTGGGATCGGGCTTAAGTGTATTATGATTTGTAACAAAGAAACAAAAGAAAATGATGTGCATTTTTTTGAATGATGCATACCAAAGTATACAAATGCAAAGAAAAGACCTCATAATATATAATTTGTAAATCTGTGTAAAGAATTTGTGAATGAAAGTCAAGAGAGAGTTTACTAATAATGTATATTTTCTTTTAATGATGACAGCATACCCACTTTTTACTTGAAAATTCAAAGAAAGAAGCATTTCAAAAGAATAAAACATGAGTTTTTCACTCATGATGAAAACCATTTTTCTATACCTTTATTAATGTGGTTAATGTTAATGTTGTATCCTCCATAACTTTCAAGCTAAAACTCAATGAAAATAAATCATTCAGTATTTTACCAGAGATGTGAAAACTGCTGATATTACCCTAAGTTATAGATATTACAAACAAGTTTTTTGGCCAAAAATCATAACACTTTAGAGTCTCTAAAATATTTCTATAGTGATTASATTACTAGAAAAAGTTTAACAATACATAACAGATGGAAAAGATAAAAAGGAATGATTTTAAAAGTCAAMTCATTTTGGTCACTCTAGATAGATTATATCCATTCTAGTAAACTACAAAAGGCAAATAAATCTTTGGACCATATTTTTTAATAAAGAAGTATTATTACTTACACAATTAYACATTCGTATATATGGACTACCTTTTACAATCTATGATTAGTAATTCCAACTTTGTGGTCGGCATGGTGGTGCACACCTGTAATCCCACCTACTCAGGAGGCCGAGATTGGGGGTCAGTGGTTTGAAGATAGCTTAGGCAAAACCCTGTCTCAAAAACTAAAAAAGCCAACAAAACAAAACAAAACAAAAATAGGCTGGGGGTGTAGCTCAGTGGTAGAGCACTTTCCTAACAGAAAATTCCTGGGTTCAACCACCAGCATTGACTGTGGGAAAAATAAAAATCCAACTTTAGTTGGCCTTACTAGGATAAAAGGGTTTTTCTTCTTTACCTCAAATGTGTTGAAATCTCAGGCTCTGGTATCAGGAAGTCTAAATTCTGGTCCTGAAATTTGTACAACATTGTGCAATTAAAACCTCTTCACAAGGACTCTAACTCTGGATTGACTTGTGACTATGGGCCAGTACTTTTTTGTGGGGGTGGTGGTAACTGGGAATTGAACCCAGGGACACTTAACCACTGAGCCACATCCCCAGCCCTTTTCTGTATTTTATTAGAGCCAGGGTCTCGCTAAGTTGCTGAGGCTGGCTTTGAGTTCACAATCCTCCTGTGGTSTCCRGAGCCACTGGGATTACATACATGTGCCACCACACTCAGCTTAGGTTCTTAATTCTTCCTGATGCTCAATTTCCTTATTACGAATGTAGACGATTTATTTCATAGAATTATATGAAGAATAATGTAATGATGTGTAGACTATAATTGCTTGATTTAATCCTTTACTATCCAAACCAAGATAGTTTTGAAAATGAAAGGAGAAACTTGATAATAATTATGCCAGAAAAGAGATAAATTGGGGTTTTCTCAGGCAAGCTAGAATATCCAGTTATAGTTAATATAATTTTCTTTGGTATAGAGGCTATAATAGATTTATGTGAATTCTAGTCTAGAGTAGGAACTTAAAAAATATCTTCCAAAACTGAGGAGTTTTGCTCTTCCTTTATCTCATCCTCTTTTCACTTGGTTATATATATAGCATGTCTCAGAAAATGAATTATAGCATATAACAAAAAAGTATGTCAAAAGGTCTTTGGGAAAAGACCCCATGCCCTGAAAATGGTAGGCTGGATTTGGGAGTGATTGCCAGTAGTGACTTAAAAACTCAAAATTTAGGTAATTCAAGACCATAGAGGATCAAAATACCCAGGAAGATACTAAGATTCAGGACAGCTTCTGTCTCCCATGCTAGGTGGGAACAGAAACAACATGGGTTGTCTTGACCTGAACTCTTACATATGGTGACTGAGTTTAGCTAGTCCAAATTGTGCTGTAACACATGTAATATACACGCCCAATTTTGAAGGCTTATCACAAAAACAATGTGGAATATTTCATTAATAATTTTTAATACTGACTACAGTTAAAGTGATAATATACCAGACTAAATAAAATTTATTATTACTTTTTAACTGTGGAAAAAAAACCTCTTCAATCTCTTTAATACCTATCTCATTTGGATGTTATAAAATCTACATAAGGCTAGTGTCATAGGCAAAAACAAAAACAAAATAGTCTGGTTTGTAAATAAAGCTATACTAGAAGACAACAATGCTTCTTTGTTTACATAAGGCTGCTTTTGCACTGAAAAGTTATGAAAGAGATTGTATACACTATAAAGACTGAAATACCTACTAATACCCCTCACAGATGTCTGAGGTATATCAGGTAAAATACTAAGCCTTGCATATAAGAAACAAAATTACAGTGGGGGATATAACTCAGGGGTACAGTGCTTTCTAGCATCTGTGAGGCCCTGGGTTAGATCTCTAGCACAAGAAAAGAGGAAAAAAATGCATACCAGTACAATTATACCAACATAATTATTAAACACATACACAAACTTTATAAAGACTGCACTATTTAGCAAACATGCAGTATTTACCTGCACCATAGCAACAAGATCTTGTAGCTGTCTAAGTTTCTGTTTTGCAGCCATAAGTCTATTAATCTTCTGTTCAAATTCTGCATCTTCTGGAGCCTCATCAACCAGACTGCTTCTATGACTAGACAATGAAGCTCCACTGACCCCCTCCTCTTCTGCTTCCTCCTCCTCTTCCTCATCATCTTCACCTTGTGTTACATGCATTCCCTGTTCTTCTCTATTGTATCGACAATCTATTAAAAACATGTATCATTCAAATCAATAATTTTAAAATAAACTTGAGTATTAAAAAAAAATCCTCTTCACAGAATAATATGGCAAAATTATCTGTAAATGCAGTCAATCATACCTAAAGGAGGCATGTTTAGAGCTCTAATATTGGCAGCAGATCTGTTGTTAATTTCACAATTAGAATTCACTGATCTCCCATCTCTATTATTAGAAACACACTGTGTATTACTATTACTATTTACTTCATTCCAGGTAGYAGCTACTTGTGGATTTCTGCAAGAAAGAAAACAACCTTAAGTTATTTAAGTTTTTAGTAAAACAGCTGCAAACTAAGAACACAATTAACTATTTTATTTAAGTTCAAACTAAATAATGTGCTTCTCTTTCCCATTAACTTTTTGCACCTATGTTATTAGGAAATTTGTGAAGAAAAACATCGAAAATCAAAATACACCTAAAAATATAAAAGTAGGAAAATGCTAAGTTAAATACTTCTTATGATTACTTGCATTTGACCTAACAGCAAATTTACTAAATTATTAAATAATTCCCTATTTTTCTTTATAGAGCAGGGATGATTATACTAATCAAAACAGTAGATTTGCAAGAAAAAAAGCTTAAATAAAAGGTAAATAGCAATTTATTAAGGTATTTTCTCCCCACACTGAAAATATTAGGTTTGAAAACCAAACCTAAATAAAGTTCTTACCGAATGTTAGTAACAGGTTCAGAATTTTCATGCTCAGAATCGTATTCTGACTCTTCAGTTTCTTCATCTTTTGTGTTTTCATTTACAGCATCTGTCATCATATCTGATGTTTGTTCATAATAATGGACTAATTCTCTTAATTCATTCAATCTCTTTCGAACTTCATTTAACTTCCTGATAAAAATATATAATATTAACACCCATCTTAACAGAACAAAACAAAACAAAAAGCCCTCACATTATTTTCATATAACAGCAGTCAGCACAAAAACATTTTATACCTAATCAAATACCTTGGGAATCTCATGAGTTTAATAAAGCAATAAGTTTAATCTCAAGTATGGTTCCCTCAAAAATCTCATGACTTTATTTTCTTGTGTTAGGAACAAATGCATAAAAAATCCATTTCAATTTAATTGTTCACTTTTAAGCAGGTATAAATGTTGACAGCCAAAAACTCATTGTCAAAAATACTAGGTTTCTTTATAAGAGTCAAAAGGATGAAGTATTATATTAAGTACTCAATTTAAATACTACTTCTCAGACAAATCAGCTATAGAGATATTATTGAGCATTTACAAAAGATTATCAACTAGTCTATACGTAGAGATCTATAAAATGCAGCTATTTTTACCAAAATTAAATTTGTTGAATTTTACAAAGTGCCAGGAACTATGCCAAGGTTTCTTAATTTTTAAAAATCTTTATAAATTGAAATGTCATATTGTATGCCATAAATACAATTACTATGTGTCAATTAAAAACTGTATTTTAAAAAGTTTAGTGTTATTAAATATTAACCCTATTTTGCAGATGCGAAAATAGCCTTAGTAATGATAAGTAATTTGTCCAGTGACATACCTTGTATGATATAATTTCAGACCTGAGCTCGATCATTTGAATATAGAAATATTTTAACTACAGTCCTAGCTATTTCTGATCCTTTCTTAAAAAACAAGAAAAACATCAGCTCACCGAAGTTACCTATTTTATAATGTCATAGTTCTCTTCAATTATTCATAAAATGCACATATAATAAATCCCTTTTTACCATCACACTTTAGTATGCTTATTAAATAACTTTAGTTTCTCCAAAATTTTTTAACACAAAGGGGAAAAAATGCCAAGTTTATCCCCATTATTTAATTCTAATTTATGTGAATAAGGATTATAAAAAATATTTTACTGTAGTTTTTCAGTTGGGTTCAGATGGCCTTCATTTTCATTCTCATTCTGAGGACCTAGAGAAGCGGCAGGATAAGGAACAGATGATACAAGGCTGCTGTTGGACTCTCCATTGACAACTGGTACCAAGCCTACAGGAACAGAGGGGGCTGAAACTGTACTTCTCTGATCTCCACTCCTCTGTGGAGAGGCTGAAGAAGGCACAACTATAAAAAAGAAAAAATTACCAGTTACCATAAACAAACAAGGCACCAAGCAACCCTTATTAATAATATGCTTAGAGATAGAYCAAAAAGTAAACATCATTAACACTTTAAATTTTATAGTTAAATTTTTGAAACTTGAGTATATATTCAAGTAATTTGCTTATTAATATACTCCACAACCAAACACATCAAAATACACAAAGAAAATGCATTTTTATGTCTTTTACATTATAGTTACTGGGCAACTGGGGTTGGGGGGGTGGACAAGATAGACACTGATAAGAATCATGATGTTGTATTCTGGGAAAATAACTAGAAGAGTACTCTGCCAAACTTGGTTCTGGACTAAGTTAACAGGTCCCCTATGTATGATGTGGATTCATAATCTGCAAATCATAGGGTAGCCCTAACTAATTAGGTCTTATGAATACCAAGATTGAGCTTTATTCCAGGAGACAAAGTAAAAGTGCTAACATGACTGTGATACATCTATACCATGAAATGCTACCTGGAAACACCATTTTTTAACTAGATAAAAATCAATCCTCTAAAGTCTTTGAACTAATCTAATTAMTTTTCTGTCCACATACATCAAAGATATTTTATGCCTCCATGGACAATTAATGAAGACATAATCTTTGCGCTTCTACTTCTATCACTTCAAAACTACTGTCAATTCTCTTAAAAGGACCATCATTGTTTACTACTCACTTAAATAACACAATTACTATAGCTGGGTTCTAGTAGTCTTTTTACTCTATTCCTTAACCTTTCTAACTGTTGGTGCTGCCCTCACACTATTTTCCAATGGGAAAAAATGACCCTTTAAAATCATTAGAAAGCACAGTACTACTTTCTTTATATATATAAAAGTGACCACAATGACATGAGCACAACTTTCAAATTTTAAGTTTTTCTTAGCTGTTTTCACCTTTTCTTGTATAAGAAAGGGATTGGGATTATACTCTACTTAGAGGAAGAGGGGATTAGGAGAGATCAGGGAAAAGGAGTATGTTTCAGGGCAGAATTAGTAAGGTTCATTTGGAGGTGGCAGAGAAACAGAAGACGTGTGGAGAATAAAGAAAAGGACTTCAGAGATGAGATGTTTTTATTGCTTATCTTTAATTAGATATACTGGAATATTAAAGAATAGAGCAAGTTAGATTGTCCCCTACTGACTTCAATTTCCAATGCTTTGCCCCTTATTACTAGCTGTGTCTCCAGAGGCAGGATCCAGGTTTAAAAAGGTCTAAGGACAGCAACTGAAGACTAGTAACTAGGTTGGAATTAGAATAGGTAGAGTGTGCACTTTACATGCACAAAGCCCTGGATTCAATCTCCAATACCAAAAGAAAAAAAAAATTAGAGAAGATGGTTTCTATAGTCACAGCTCTTTGATATGGCTATTTATAATATTTTTAAAAAATGAACTTAAGTACAGTAGTTATAAATTGGAGACTTTCTGCTCTAAATCATATACTACAGAAATTTTTCATATCTTTGTGTGTGTGTTTGTGTGTCTTAAAAACTAAATCTGCTTAATAGTTTCAAAGTTTTTATTTAATTCAAACTTTTATTCTTTGCAGTTCTGTAGATCAACCCAGGGTTTCAAGMATACCATGTAACACAGGCACTCTACAGCTACACCACAACCTATAGTTTTAAGATTTTTAAATCAAGGCACAAATTGGATTAGTAATTCCTTACAAAAACTCTTGTATATGCTAAAAAATGCAGTACCATGTTGAAGTATCAAATAGTTACCTTTTCTTCTACCTTTCCCTTATTAAAATTCTACCTATTTTTCAAGGCCCAACTTTTTTCTTTTTCTTTTCTGAAGATTCACCATATATTTGGCTTTTATCATATATTGACTTATTACTTAAAAACTTTTTTTCACACTCCAGTTTTATCTTCCTAGCAAAATTGTAAATTTCTGAGAAACTGTATTCATTTACTCATCAAACACTATTAAGTGTCAGCAGATACATGTTCTCTATATAGTAATGCTAAACCAGATTTACTTACATGATGAATTGTTCAGATGCTGATCTCGAAGTGTATGAAGTTCTCCAAGTAACTTGTCCATTTTTTGTTTCTTTTCCTGCAGCACTCTCATTTTGCTAAAAAGTTGAACTTTCTCATCAGGCAAATGATCTGAAATTGATGGATTCCTGCTCTGGGAAACCTCCCTAGTTAAAGAAAGACTTTCTGCCTGTCTTCTATTATCTGGAACAGCTGGAGGCTTATTAAAAAAAAAATAGAATTAAGGCAATTAAAAGTTGCATTCTCATCTTAAAAAATATTCTTTATAAGAGGTATCAGTGGGTTTCCATTTCTACTCCCAAATTAAATACTATTTTCTGATATGCCACCACAACACATAAATGATTTCATATACATATGTAACCATACGGTGGTCCTGGGTTCACTGGTTATCATTAYTGTCTATATCTAAATAGATGCTGCTAACAATGCCATATTTTACATCGAATAAACCTTCAAATATCTTTTTCTTATTTCTGCTTAGAACCACCATTACAAGCTTTTAATTTCCTAACTATCAAATTTTCCTACACTTTTTTTGGGGTGGTGGTGGTGGTAAAGGGAATTGAATCCTGGAGTGTTCTACCTCTGAGCCATATCCCTGTTTTTAAAAATTTTAATTTGAAATAAGGTCTTGAATATGAGACAGGCCTTGAACTTGAGATCCTCCTGCCTCAGCCTCCAGAGTATCTAAGAGGTATGCCCAGTCGTGTGCCTGGCCAACTTTTTTATTTAATTATGAAACATATCAAGAATGTACTAAGGCTTAGGGAATCATACAGTAGATACCTACCAGTGAGCCTCATCAAATTTCCCCACATTTGTATCCATTCTTTTTATTTTTTATTGGGGTGGGGGGGCACACCAGAGATGGAGCTCAAGGGCACTCAAACATGGAATCACATCTCCACTCCTATTTTGTATTTTATTTAGAGACAGGGTCTCACTGAATTGCATTAGTGCCTTGCTAAGTTGCTGAGGCTGGCTTTGAACTTGAGATCCTCCAGCCTCAGCCTCCCAAGATACTGGGATTACAAGCATGGGCCGCTGCATCCAGCCTCATTCTTTTTACTTTTTAAGAGAAATATAACATCAAAGACACTAAGCTAAAGCTCTAAGTACTCTTCCCCAATCCCACTACCCACTCCAGATGTAACCACAATCTGAAATTTGTAACAGCTATGTATGTATCCATAAAAACTTACACATTTTAAAATATTAAATAAGCAGTATCCTTCTTAAATTTATCAGTTTTCATTCATTAGCTCTATTTCATTTATTCAAATTACTGTGCAGAATTTCATGAAATGTATATATTATATATATATACATATATATTATTTATTAACTCATTTTCCTAGACATTTCTTTTGGTTCTGGTTTTTTGCTATTAGTACAATACTACCATAAACATTTCCTGTATTTACATCCTTGTAAACATCTGATTCTTTAGGGTAGATCATGGCAGGGTCATTAGAAAAAAATTACTAAATATTGCTAAGCAACTCTCCAAAGTAGTTGAATCATATTCTTTTATTTTCACTTGATTAATCAGCAAAAAGACCGAAGAGACAATGCACCTTCAATTACACATATTTCCAGTGGARAGGTATTAATTTACCCTAATTACCAAAGCCCACATATTGAAAATATGCATTTATATCATTATTTACAAAGTTMTCATATTATAACACTATTAATTCTCAAATTAAATTTAAGAACTTTCTTAAAATTGTTAGCAACTTTTACTTGAGATTCTCCTGTCTCAGCCTTCTGAGCCCTTGGGATCATAGGTGTGTGTCACCAGGCGTGGCAAAATTGTTAGCAATTTTAAAATGCTCCAAGGACATTGACTTGAATCTAACAGAAATCTTATTGGTTATGACCAATAGTCTTCTGGGGCAGGGGGTGGGGAAGGAAGTATTATCTAATAASAGAGAAAAAGAAAATTTCACTTAGCACTTCATTCAAAGTACATTTTGCTCTAATTTGGTGTTTTTGAAAGTATAGTCTCCCAGAACAGCAGCAATAAAATCATGTGGAGAAAAGCCCACTCAAACCTTATGAATTCATAATTTTGGAGATAAAGGGACTCCAAATGTGATGTTTATGTTTATTAAAGTCAGAAAACCACTGTTCTAATGAATGTGATTTTAAAATCAACCATGCAAAAAATTGTTACCTGAGAATCACGAAGCTGATTATGAAAACGCTGAATTAAATCATTTAATTCTTCATTTAGTTCAGATGTTATACTGACTCCAGATAAGCTACCTGTAGTTTCTCCAACTGAAAAAAAAAATGAATAACTATTCATTAATATAAATAAATCATTTTTTAAGTTCTGAGAAGCTAAATATAAAGTGAGGGAAAATTCACCTAAAATAATGTGAATTAATGAACCTTCTTATTTATCTGCCAAATAATCCTTTTATTATAAGTGTCTGTCTATTCTAAAAATAAAGGACAACTGCAAAACTATAGTATAGTGCCTCATTTTTTTTCTGACCCAACATACAAGGAGTAATGGTGTTATAACCCAATTAAAAACCTGTGACTCAATGCATTAGGGGTGGAGCAGGTTTATCCAAACAACCCATCCTTATCTCCACTTCTAACTTTCTTTGTCTCCTGAAAAATAAGAATTTCAGGGCTGACAATTCCACATATATACTCCAAACTCTATATGAGAAATAAAGAAGTTACGGTCYGTAACTAGTATATACCTTGCGAAATACTCTTTCCCATGACAACTGTGCTGCTTCTCTTAAACACCAGAAGATTAAATAGTGTAACTCTGATGAGTATCCCTCTGAAAAATCTCATACATACGGGAGCAAATCTATTTAAAAATACTACACTAAAATTCTTTTTGTAGTATTGTATAAAATAAATTCAAATCCAAATTCCTATTCATTCTATTCTTGTTCCTTGCCTTGTGATAGTTTATTTTTTAAAAGATACTGTGTGTTTACTTAAAAAGGTTCATATTTAGAAATATGAAGAAGACCTCTGGCCTAAAATTCAAAAAAATCTGACTCTTTCTGTATAAGCCTAGGGAAAAAAGAAACTTTGATATAAAACAAGAATAAGAATAAAAGTTTTAGGTATGGTTATAGTTTGGAYGAGGTGTTCCGAAAAGCTCAAAAAAGTTTTGGAGGTGGAATAATTGGGTTGTGAAAAGCTTAACCTAATCAGTGCACTTATTTCCCTGATAGAGATTAACTGGGTCATAACTGGGTGGAGGACGTGGGTAATTGTGAATATGCCCTTGGGGTATATATTTCTTCTCCTCAGTGGGTAGAGAAGTCTTTTTGCTTCTTGGTTCCATTTTTCCTAGCTGTCTTCCTTTGCCATGCCCTTTCACCATGATGACCTGCCTCACCTTGAGCCCAGAGGAAATGGAATCAGCCAGTCATCTATGGACTGAGACCTCTGAAACCCTGAGACCCAAACAAACTTTTCCTTCTCTATATTGCTGTTGTCAAATCTTTTGTAACAGTAGCAAAGAAAGCTAACTAAAACAGGTACTAAYCTACAATTCTATCATAATCAAATGAGATGATGTAAATATTCAAGATTAATGTAACTATCACGGGAAATCTTTAAAGTCTGATAGTTCAAATTTGAAAATATTTAAAGAGTTACTTCTTAACTAGGATTGTCTTCATATTGAAATAATTTATTTTCCAAAATTATGTACTTTCTAAGTATAAATATAAATACAACGGTACCCTGCATTTTATGAGGAAAAATTAGTATAATTATTAATACACACAACATATATTAAATAAGATATAACAACAGTGATCAGACAGCTGAGTTGGTAGGCTAGATCTGGAGAGCAGTATAAAATAACTCACAAAACAAGTAGTCTCGGGACGTAAGTTCACTAGCAAAAATGAGACGCTCAAAGGAAAAAAAATATTAGAATGTAATGATAGAATACTCTATTAGGAAACATAATTTAGCCACTAGAAGAGTGTGTCATAAACTCCTATCACTTTTTACCCCCTAAATACACACAATTATTATTTGTCAATTAAAAATAAAACTAAAAAAATAGCCTAACTGAACTTAATTAAGTAATTATCTTAATTTAACAAMAAAAAAAATTAAAACATTCAGGTGAAGGTAATGAGACAAACTACAATACTAAATACTAAACAATTCAATAAAACTTTCAACTAAATGATACATAGCTATGATGAGAAAAAGAAGAAATGAACATTTCTGAGTCTCAAGAAAACTAATATGAAATTATACTAAAAAAAAACTAGTATACAAAATTGGAGATCTAATTGAAATAACTGAGCTACTACTAACATTGAATGGTAAAGTGCTCTATAAATTTATTTATTACCTCACTTAAGGTTTTTAATACTTCCTTAGGAGGCAAACAAAGAATGGCAATCCTAGTTGAATAAAGTACAAAAACTGGAAATAAAAGCATCAAGAGCCCTATCAATCTGARGCACAAAAACAGAACTACAGCCTGTCCCTTTTACCTCTTAAGGGTACTCTCTGATGAAAAGGAGAGCGAGCTGTCTGTCTGCATCGTACAGTATGATGGCCAGGAGTTGTCCCTGCAACCTTTTCTGCATAACCAGAGAAAAGCACAGGATAGGGTAAGCCTCGTATGCAGGTTTCTAAACTAGTCAACAATCACAACCTGACTATATAATAACATCATCAACCTTGCAATATAAGTGTTTATTGAGCCTTGCTTATAAAAACATTTGAAGATTGTCATACCAGAATCGTCCATCACAGCGATAGCTTGCTCTGCTTTATGCTGCAGAGCTAGAAGAGCAGCTTGTCGTCCCTGCAGAGCTCGCAGTTGCTCCTGCTGTTGTAACATCCTTTTTAATAAATCATGTTGTTTCTTCAAATTTTCTATCTCTTCCATAGGCTCCTGTTCAGGATCTCTGGCCTGGAAAATAAGACCAACAATACTTATATCWATATTAAAATCCATTTTCCCCTTTTGACTACAAAAATGGCAATATATGTACATAAATAATACATTAGTATTAAATATGCAACCCTATATACAATTTTAGTAGACCTAAATAAAAAAGAATCAGAATAGAATGATAACATACAGATAGCCTGCCATGTTAAAGAGTTAGGTAATTTCATAGTATAAGATCAGAAGCAATAGCTTATCATGAAGAGGAATTAACAAAAGGAAAGAAAGGAAAAAGACATACAAAACATAAAACAGAAAAATTGACAAGGGCAAGGAGTTACCTACATACGCACACACACACACAGAAGAATGAGGGGAACCACAGCCAATAAAAAATTGAGAACAGTTTAGACTAGGTTAATGCCCAAAAAGTCTCTGTAAAAAGGCCAAACTAAGAAACTTTTCGCCCCACTCTTGGAAGTGATGCTACAAACACAATGCAAGACTCAGAGGCTCTGGCAAGAGAATGAGAATGAGAAACACAATGCAAGCCTCAGCACCTTAGCAAGATGATCCTGTCTCAAGATAAAAGGAATGGGGATATAGCAAAGGGGTAAAGTGCCCCTGGGTTCAATTTCCATCCCTAGTACCAAAGCATACAAAATAACACAATACAAAAAAAAAAAAAAAAAAAAAACTCAGACAACAAACCCACTAATTTCTTTCTAACCAAGGACAAAACTTTAAAAATAAAGTTACTTGATAATTTTATGTAAAAAGGCTTGAATGTAACTGCATCACATTAGGCATATAAAACGCAGAAAATTGTGTATTTCATATCATACTATTACATTTTTTTACTTTTAAATTATGCCCATTCAGCTGAGTCTGAGGACATAAAATAGAAGTAAATACTTACAAATTCCCCCAAAATGATAGTTAGGAAGTTATCATTCTGCCTAAAAGTAAAGTAAGAGATTAAACAAGCAGCACTGATAAGAAACAATCAACTTTTAGACATTAATTTTAAAATCATACAAAATGTAATCCAACAAGAAAAAAGAAAAGTCAAAGATATGAATTTAAATATAACCCCAAAACAATAATTTTTAACATAAATTATGCAGTAAATATATATCAGTTGGGCTGGGGATGTGGCTCAAGCGGTAGCGCGCTCGCCTGGCATGCGTGCGGCCCGGGTTCGATCCTCAGCACCACATACCAACAAAGATGTTGTGTCCGCCGAAAACTAAAAAATAAATATTAAAAATTCTCTCTCTCTCTCTCTCTCTCTCTCTCCTCTCTCACTCTCTCTTTAAAAAAAAAAAATATATATATATATATATCAGTATTTTTTCGTCAGTGATTTACCATAATTTTTTTAATTTAAAAATTCTATGATTTTACCTAACATTTACATAAAATATTCACCTTTGTTTTATTTAGGCAATTTTAAATTTGTCTTGCTAACAAATTTTTGTTGGAGGTTTTGTATATTTTAAATAAGTGATCCTCGCCCCCTTTATAAAATTACTAAGGGGAGTAAAAAAGCTCAATAATTTCAAGAAAAAACATACTGATCTACTTTCCATATGTACACCTGAATTCTGGACAAATAATGGAGAACAACAGATGGCTCAAAGTAAGTTTCTTTCTGGCTGACATCCCTTCCCAGTACTATGTAAATGCCTCTTTTCTTTAACTCCCCAAATAGAATGCATCAGTATTGTAACTAAGAATGCGTAACTGTGAAAACATTTTACATATGTGACTAAGAAATAAAATAGGAAATAGACTTATGATAAAAATATTTAATGTCCACATCAGAAGAGCCTGATCAGTGCCATATCTACTTATTCTGGACAATTTCTAAACTTTATGTACATAGGACAGAAGTAATCTATAATTTTGGTTAGCCTGCTACTTACTGAAGGCTTTTCTATTGTGAATTCCTAATAAACTACAACCCTTTTCAAAGTAACTACTGTTTACTCAGTTTTCTGCCATCCTACACAAGAGGAAGGATGTTATTTATATTTATATATTTATTTAATATATATTTGTTATTTATATTCATCCCTATTAAAAAAATCATCTTCTTAGTTCTGGCATATTTCAAGACTTTACGTCTTAGGAAAAAACCTGGAACACTAGGAATAATTGTCAATAGTCCTCTCAGATTTGGTAAAAGATCATTTCACAATAATTTCAACAAAGACATTGGTAAAATGTAAAAAAAAAAAGAACAAAACAGGTACATTATCTCATTGGAATGAGATATGAGAGAACTACAACGATTTTCATATTTTTCATTAATCCAAAAATGAACTTCCAACAATTTTTTAAGTTTGTGGAGTTCTATCACCACTTAATAACTTTTGTACCCATGTAAATAACATTTCAGACAGATATTTACAAAAGCTGAGTAAAAGGAAGAGGTGTAGACTATGAACAAATGCAAAGAAAGTGAGGATGGCAGAATGAAAATAAAATTACCTCGGAATAAAAACATGCCCAGAAGGTACTTGGAATAGAAATACAAAAAGGAAGTCAAGATTATATCTATCTATCCTTCAAATGTATACTTTTTTTTTTTTTTTTTTTGGCAGTACTGGGGATTGAACAGAGGGCCCTGAACATGCTAGGCAAATACTCCACCATTGAGCTACATCCCCAGCCTTTTCTTATTTTTATTTTTTACATTGAGAAGGGTGTCTCTAAGTTGTACAGGCTGGCCTAGATCCTCCTGCCTCAGTAGCTAGGATTAGAGGTATGTACCACTTTTATTTAAACTCAAAAGAGTTTAAATAAAACTACATTTTTACTTAACAGATAAATTATAAAAACAAATAACTTAGTCATAAAATCCCAAACTGCATATATATGAGTCAAATTTCATTAAGTCCAAGGTCTTCCTTTCTTCCACTAATCTGGCATACCTCTGGTAATTATTCATAGATCCAAATATATTTTTACAGTTTCAGACAATTTTTACTATAATTTTTTCATGTGAAAAGTGAGGAACTGTGAACCCAGAGAAGACAAAGCTGTAATTTGTCCAAGGGCACAATTAAGCTAAGTCAGGTTCCTACTTTCTTTTTTACTGTTCTTTACATCATAGTGTCTGCTCCTAAATACTATGCTTGGGTTCTAAACACAAAGTATAAAATACAATTTCTAAAGAGGCAGAGCTGGTTGGAGAGAGAAGGCTACCTCATGTAAAATAATTAGAAACGGTAAAAATAATAGCAAAAGAAAACAATGAGGGTATGGGTATTTGTGGAAGGCTTCTTTTGTAAAATTATGCAAAATATCATGTCTATAAAATATTTCATAAAATGGAATCTGCTTCTGTAGGTGAATATTACCAGAATATTACTCATTTCATATCAAGCTGCAACTCATAAGGTTGTTTTCCACTCTGAATCTCAGACTTCAACCTTTTTTTCCTAACATAACACATTTTGAAAGGATTCTAAAAAGGAGGAAATAGGGAAGGAATGGTGAGAATAATAGATTCTGTTTAGCAGAGGAAAAAATAAAGTCAAATGTTGGGAATAAATTTTATCCTAGGAAATTAAAATCATTTCAGGAACTGAGTACTAATAAAACCACACTAGGATGACCTTAAGAATCAAGATTAAAGACAAATTGTAATAAACTCCAAATTCACTTATAAAAATAATTTTCAAAGAAACTTAAGAATAGAAAAGAGTTTTCAATAACACATTATGGGGATAAAAATAGAGCTAAGATAAACTAGACTGTACTGTCAACTCTCAAATTTTGTTACTATTCAGGATAAAAGGAGACAAAAATTCCAAAGGATATTATTGTGGTTCATGTTCACTTTCTCCTCTTCACTGCTACTAGTTTTTAAAATAATCACCCACTTTACTCCTCTGTTGGGGCACCATTTACTTAATTAACACTTTAAATTGCAAGATCCCCATAACTGATTTCAAACTGTGTCCTCGAACTCTACAAAACCAAACAAAAAACACAAACTGCCAAAAATCTAGAATTMAGTTTTGTGATTTTTCAACAGTCATAAAAAGAAAATATAAATATCTACAAAATAGAGAAGAAAGATCCAGTTGGAGATAATAAGCTATTAATAAAACATGAAATTAATATTGTATATACTCAATTATTAAAACACTTTGCTCTTGCAAAAGGATATAAATACTTTTATGAATGCTATTTTTATCCAAACTTTCAGGTGGAACTACATAAACTTATGTTCAATACCTTTATGCAAATMATAGAAAATTAAAAGAAAGAACATTTAAATCAAACACTGAAAGAAACCCAGCAAAAACATTAATAAACAAGTCTACTACATAATTACTTTTCCTAAAAAAAAGGTTTCCAATAAAAACAAAAATATAAACAACTATAAAGCTTATCATTCTTACAAAGAGAAGAAAGCTAATAGCTTGCTCAATTTTCTTTTTCCTTTTTTTTAAAAGAAAGAGGAGGAAGAAAAGAGAGAGAGAGAAAGAGAGAATTTTTTTAATATTTATTTTTCAGTTTTTCAGTGGACACAACATCTACAATGCCCCGCGCACACSAGGCGAGTGCGTTACCACTTAAGCCACATCCTCAGCCCTCAATTTTCTTTTTCTTTGATGAATTACCACAGAAAATAAGACAAAATGAAAAGTATCATAATGCACAAACACTAATATCAGAAACAAAAGGTAACTGACTAATAGTCTGGATTTAAGAATGTTAGGTATTTTGAGCCTAGATAACAAAAAMAAGGAAATCAAATTACACTTTAAATACTTTGTTAATGTAAATTAAAATCAGCTGCCACATATAATCCATGGGAAGGTATATAAGAAAGCAGAAAGAAATAAAAATGCTAAGGGATAGCATTTTACCAAAGCAAGTTACAGTATAATAATTAACCATGTTAATAATTTATGTATTTAAGAGTAATAGCAAGAACAGAAAGCAAATAAGGAAAAGGAATATGAACAAAAGAGGTGCTACTTAGAGACTTCCCAAGTTAATATTGTGAAGTATACCTTTGAGGGAAATCCACGTTTTCGGCTATATTTCCTATTAGGCCTCAGTTCCCTGTCATTCTGAGGAGGTCTGTCACCTTTCCCTTTTGGACTTGTAGTAACGTCAATGTCTGAAACCTGTTCTCGTGAGGCTGAATTCCCTAGTTTGTCCTCAATGCACGGCCGAATTCTCAGACTAAAAGATGCCTCCTTTATTAAATAGTGTAGCATATTAATTTCTTAATACAAACTTCTGTTTAACATATAAGCCAGTCTTTTAAATAAACACWAAAGTTACCCAGTTCATCTTTAAAAAAGTAATCCACCCCCACCCGAAGTGGCAATAAAATCAATCAGAACTTTACATTTTTTAGACTAAATTGTTACTTATTATAATTAATAAATATCATATCCTAGCTACACAAAGCTGTTAAAGCATATTTTAACATTTATCCTACAACATATTATTAAGCAATTTCCATAATGTTATGGCTTTATGTTATTATGCAAAAAATTCTCATCATGGTGAACACTTCAAAAATTAGAATATAAACTATAATAATCAACTATACCATTTCCCACCCTTCTCCAATAAATTTTTTTATCCACATTGCCCCAACCCTTCCATTTCTGCTGGTATGTAAGGAAGAAATTATTTTCAGCACCACTGTACATAGAAAAACTATTTCCCCATAGTAGAATCCATTCTTCAACAACTGTTTGGATCAAGCCTTCTGAGCATTTCCTGGTGAAAGCAAGGTAGAGAAAAAAAAAAAAAAAACATTCAAATTCCCTCTTCAAATTAGGAAGGGCAGGGAAGAGAAAGGAGGCAGATAAGAAACTATGCAGGTGAATACTAAAAGGAAACAAACTCTCAAATTCCTAATGCTGAATGGTATTTTGGAACAAATCTCAAAAACAGGAGATATATATATATATGGTTATCCTTTCAAAAGAAAATCTTTATGGTAATAGGTTTTAAAGTTTACTAATGTATAGGYGTACCTGTTAAAATAAAAATGCTTGCAAGTATACTAGTTTTAAAGCACACTAATATCTGTGAGTAAAGTCTTTTCTACAAACCTTTCCTCAAAAGTTCTGTAAATTATTATTTTCCAAAGCATGGTTTCATGCTTTGGAAATTTCAAAAGAAATTTCACTTTTCAGTCAGAAATTACAGTATTGGCAGGAGCTGTGATGCACACCTGTAATTCCAGCAACTTAGGAGGCTGAGGCATGAGGGTCACAAATTCAAGAACAGTCTCAGCAACTTACCAAGACTCTGTCTCAAAATTAAAGACATAAAGTCCTAGGGATACAGCTCAGTGGTAGAGCACCCCTAGGTTCAATCCCCAGTACCACACACGCCCACACACAAAATACAGTATTTTTCTCACTATGAAAAAAATAATAATGAAAATGCTGTCCTGTCCTATTTACTACTCTATCTAAATATTTCAATCATCTGGTTTTGCTACAGTACCAAACTAGGGCTTGAGAAATTAAAAATCCTAATATTCTTAAAATGCTCCCCAATGGCAAATAACATGAATACTTTTCCAATAAATTATAGACTTAGTAATCATGAGTATCATTAGTGATTACAATACCCCTTACATCCACAATAAATTTTAACTCATCCAATGCCTCCTAAAATTAGTAAAATTATACTTAAACAAATTAGAAAAACTATTTCTGAAAGCTAAAGTTCAGAAATTATTAAATTTTCAAATTAGCCATCAAAAGTACTTTAATGTGGGCTGGGGTTGTGGTTCAGTGGCAGAGCGCTTGCCTCACACATGTAAGGCACTAGGTTCGATCCTCAGCACCACATAAAAATAAATAAAGCGAAATAAAGATTAAAATTTTTTTTTAAAAGTACTTTAATATAATTAAAATTTTTAAACATCCATTAAAACATACATACAGCATTAATAGTTTGAGGGTTTCTTCCCCTGGAATACACTTTTCATTAAAGAACGCCTATAAAATATCACTGTGAAAAATGGGGGGGAAGTTTAAACCTTCATTTCCAGCACTTTAATTACCAAAAAGCCGCTTACCGTGGTATCTGAAGCCTCAGACTGCACATCTATGTTTAGCGATGTGCTCTCAGCTACAGAACCAGATCCCACAGCTGAGTCTATAGTCCGAACATCCTCCTCCTCATTTTCTCTAGCCTGAAATATTTTAGTGGTATAAATCATACAACTATTAAAAAGGGCAGTAAAATGTTATAATGGGTGGCAAGATTTTTTGAAAATACGTTAACTCCTCTAGGATAGCATCAAAATGTCATCAGTGATATATTATAAAAATAACTCGATGTTATAAAAAGATACAAAACTTACAAGAATTTTTTGGAGAAATTTCATGTATGACTTTTCTTGTTCTTTAAGGTGATCTATTAGATGAGTAAGGCGTTCAACATTAGCAGATCTTTCATTTTTCTCCACAAGATCTTCTCGCATGGAGCTAGCTTTAGTAATATAGTCACGAATTTGAACAAGTCTACTTACAATCTGCAGGGGAAATATTAAAAAGAAAAATAGCATGATACACAWCATGTAAAACTTAACATAACCATCTCAATAGCAACAATTTTATAGATTTTTACTTCAAAAAGAATAATGGTACATCTAGRTTTATTATATGAATCCATACATGCAAAAAGTCTGAATCAAATTTGGATTTTAATCAATATAATTGGCAAGATTAAAAATCACTATCAATTTAAAAATAAATTTCAAAACTATTTTACCTTATATTAACTTGATAAATACTAGTTATAAAAGAAACTATTATTTATACAAATTTCCTTCTAATGTTTTTTATGCCTAAGTATTATACTTTGAAAAGTACTTTTAAAAATACTACCATTAAAAAATTATTAGCGAAAATCTATTAATCACATTGTTTCTAATCTCCCTTTACCAAAATTAGCCATTCATTATTTTGTGAATAAAAGAAATCTTAGTGAACCTATATGCCATATTTCCAATCATTTAGTTTAAAAAATATTTATTCTACTTTAAGTATATCTGGTATATTGAGGAAGAGGGTCAGGGAAATACTTTAATTCCACCTAACTAAAATTCCTATGTGCATAACTAATATAGTTCTTTAAATATTAATGTTTATTCTTTGAGGTTTGTGAAAACAAGCAAAATAAACTAGTTTTATCACCTGGCTGCTCTCCATTGCAGGCTCTCCTCTACCATCTTCTTCAGAGACTTGACAGTTTTGCAAAAGGTCATTACTTAAAGCAGTAGCAAACAATTCTTTACATTGTGTTGATCCAATCACTTCTCTTTTTTGAAGACTTGCAGCCACATCTTTGCTCTTGTTAGTGTTAATCTGCATAGGCAAAAAGTTGAAGGGCTTTCGGTTTTCACTAAGCTGCCGTTTGTTGTTAGCTGCAGTGGCTCTACCTTGAGAATCACTTCCAATGCTTCTCTATACATGAAAATGAAATCAAATCACAAACAGTAATCTTTAACCACTTTTTAAAAATTCGAATGTTCTTAGCTTCATCATCAAGTATTGATTCAGCAGACATAGCTTTGTAATAAAATATGAAAAAGCTTCAGATCTACAAAATTTAATTAGCACTTCCTAGTTCTCATTTTCTTCCGACAACTGATGAATATGAACAAAATTAGTCTAGGTGACTTATCAGAACTTGTGGGCCATATTTATAATTAATACTGCTATTTGTTACTTCCTTACAGAATTTTTATAGTCTTTGGAACCAACGAATCAATGTTATTTAATATTAACATCAGCATAAAGACCTATGTGCAGCACTATTTTGAAAAAAGTATTCAGTTTAGTATCTGGTATAAATTAAGTATTAACTAATAATTTCCCTTTTCTGTAAATGTGGAAACATTTCTCTTTAAAGCACGTGTGACAGTAAAACATTGGTCAAGAGTTCATTATCATGTCTATTGGCTTTTAGATTAAAAATTCATCTAAGCTTTATTTCAGTGATTATATAAATACAAGTCAGTTTTAACTATAAAATATTTTTATTTATTTAATCATATCCACATAATTCATTTAACAAAAACATCCACAAATTCTTATTTTATCCATATTGCGAGATTCAGTTACTGTTGCAACAAAGCCATTCATAGATACTTTCCTCTTTTATAATTAAAAACTCATATTTCTATGAATTGTCTCTACACCTCAATCCATGGGTAGATATTCGTGCTAACCTTATTTTACCCTTTCCTGGTCACAGATGACCTGGAAAAGAAATACATATCCAATTCAAACTGGTATAATTGTATTTTAGGTAATCTTGYACATCCCACACTTAACCAATAAATATGCTAAAGCTAAACTGGATACTTCCACTTACTTTTTTTTCCTTTTTTTGGCAACAGGGATTGAACTCAGGGACACTCAACCACTGAGCCACATCTCCAGCCCTGTTTTATATTTTATTTAGAGACAGAGTCTCACTGAATTGCTCAACGTCTCACTTTTGCCGAGGCTGGCTTTGAACTCTCAATACTCCTGCCTCAGCCTCCCAAGCCACTGTGATTAAAGGCATGCACCACTGCACCTTCCCTTTCCACTTATTTAATAACAATTTTTGTTCAGTTAGTATCATGCAAAATTTAATTTCATAATGAAATAATTTAAATTAGTTATTAGCATAGTAATAAACTCCAGAAAGATGTCTTTGGCAAGCTGAGAAATAATACTGTTACCCACCTCTAGCAATTACAGAAATGCAAATRAAAACTACAATGAAATTTGATCTCATTCCAGTCAGAATGGCAATTATCAAGAATACAATTAACAATAAATGCTGGCAAGGACATGGGGAAAAGGGTACATTCCATACATTGTTGGYAGGGCTGCAAATTGGTGCAGCCACTCAAGAAAGCAGTATGAAGATTCCTCAAAAAACAGGAATGGAACCACCATATAACCATCAATTCCACTCCTCAGTATATACCCAAAGGATTTAAAATCAGAACACTTCAGTGATGTAGCCACACCAATGTTTATAGCAGCACAATTCAAAATAGCTAAGCTATGGAGCCAACCTAGGTGCCCTTCAACAGTTGAATACATAAAGAAAATGTGTGTGTATATATATATATATATATATATATATATACATATGATGGAATATTACTCAGCCTTAAAAAAGAAATTATGGCATTTGCAGGTATATAGATGGAGCTGGAGACTAACATGCTAAGTGAAAAAAGCCAGTCCCCAAAAGTCAAAAATAGACAGACTACTTTTTCTGATATGCAGAAGCTAACCCAAAATAAGTGTTGGGCGGTGGCAGGGGGGGAGGGGACTTAAAAGAAAAAAAATAGTAGATTGATTAGTGGAGTAGACAAAGGAGAATGAAGTGAAGGAAGGAGGGATAGGATGGGGAAAGAGAAATGAATCTGACCTAACTATGTTATGTTCATATATGAATACTACAGTGAATCTCACCATCATGTTAACCCATAAAACATTAATTAAAAAAATAAGTAAATGAAAGATCAGTAGAATTGAGGGAAGGGAACAGGGGGAAGGAGGAGGGGAGGGCAAGGGACATACTGGGGACTGAATTAGAACAAATTATATTCCATACTTTTAAAATTATGTCAAAATGAAACCTGTTGTCATGTACAACTTAAAAGAACCAATTAAAAACAAAGAAAAAAAACCTGTTTCTTCCAAAAGACATAGTAGTATCATCGAGTATTAAAATTCTTTTTCCACAGCACAGAAACCTTTTAAAAARTACAAGGCTCAATTCTTTTTTTAAAAAATATTTTTTAGTTGTATATGGATATAATATCTTTATTTTTTTAATTTATTTTTATGTAGTGCTGAAGATCCAATCCAGGTCCTCACATATGCTAGGCAAGCACCCCACCACTGAGTCACAGCCACAACCCTCAATCTTTTATTCTTAAGAGAAATTACTAAATCAATTTCAACTATTTCCCCATAGATAAAACTTGATTTTTAAAATAATTCACAAACCTGATCTAAGTCACTGAAGTTTATCCGTTGTTTAAGTTTCTCTAATTCTGCCTGCTCTGGAACAGACATCTGAGTCATATATCTACTATGTGGAAATGTATGTGGAGTCTTTGTTCTTCGCCTTCCAACTCCTGGTGATGACTCCGGAGAAATCTCATTAGTTACCCTTTTATCGCTTTCTACACCAAACTTTTTCTTATTCTTTTCTGATGATCTATTTGCCTTCTTCTGCTGGCCACCCCAATCCTTTAAAAAAGTAAAAGCATAAGTTAATCTGGCCTCTATCAAATCAGGAAAATAATTTGATAAGCTTAAAAATCTTTGATCAGTCTTAAGATTAAGGCAACAACACTTTTTGTGTAAACATACACCTTAGAGACATTTATGTCAATTAACCCATTTCCCCCCATTATTGTATCTATGCTAAATCACAGCCTATCCTTCAGAAAATAGATTACTTTCCTATTATACATCACTGACAAATCCCCAAATCTCAACCTTAGAATCTAAACATTTTCAAAAGCGTTTTAAATTTTTTTTCTATTTAYAAATTAAATAGTGAAATAAACTATAGACAAGTTTACTGGCCTCCTTTAGATTGAAGTCAGCATGCACAATAAAAAAAGACAACAGATCTGAAATCAACCTGGGTTCTAAAATAATTACTGTTTTTTAAAGAAATGTTCTACTGGGTGACCCTAGGCAATTTATTTAACTTACTATAGTCTGCTTCCTAATGCATAAAATCCTAAACTTTAAAATGGGATTAAAAATGAAATACATAAACATCTAATACAGTGCTTCACATTTAGTAAGCAATAAATGTAACTATTATTTTTATAGACAATGATGTATTATATAATACCACACACAGAATTAAAATATGCTTAACATTATTGCTATAAAATATTTTTATTAATTACACCCACATACCCTAATTCATTCAACAAAAACATCTATAATTCCTACCTTATCCATATTAGTTACTACTATAATGAAACCATTTGGGTTACTTTTCTCATTTATAATAAAACTTGCCTCTCTATGAACTGTCCCTTCCATATATAGGTATTCCTGTCAACCCTTTATACTTACCCTACTCTCTCCTGGCCATAGCTGAAGGGAAAAGAAATACATATGCAATCCAAATTAGGAAAATCTTATCCCAAATTTTCAATTTGGAAATAAGAGATAACCAATCAGCATATAATTGTAGCCATAACTGAAAACTTTAAAATGATGGGGCAATTACACGATAACTTCATGGACCAGAGAAGCAGATAATCCTAGTCTGTGAAGAGAAAACTGGGTTAAGAAGTACTTTGAACTGGTCATGGTGGCGCATGCCTTAATCCCAGTGACTCAGGAGACTGAGGCAGGAGGATTTCAAGTTTGAGGTCAGCCTTAGCAACTTAGCTAGACCCTATCTCAAAATAAAAAGTAAAAAAGGGCTGGGGATGTGGCTCAGTGATTAACCCACCACTGGTCTCAACCCCACCGATAACAAAAAAAAAAAAAAAAGTACTTAGAAGCAGAGTCACAGTAGAAATAGAGTGGATTCTTGACAACTTTCCAGTTCCTTTTTCCAGTCCCTTCCCTAAAATCCACCTATATTCCTTCATATAGTTTCCATAAAACACCTTTATATCCTTATAACAAATCTCCTTTTTAGTTTAAGCTAAGTCAAATTGATTTGTTAGTTATAATCAAAGGGTCTTCAACTAATAATGAATAGTCCAGGGTACCTTAATATATTAGCTAGCAATGTTAATAAACAGTGAGTTAGATTTGATGTGGAGAAAGCTGCATTTTAACATTAGAAATCAACAACACCATCAATAGTAAGATATCATACCATATTGTTGAGTCGGTCATCAACACTTTCATTGCTCCAGTTTGGTAAATCCTGATCATTCATTCCTTCTTCAAAAGGACCTCCTCCTGTGGCCATATTGGCTTTAACAATTAATTTCCTGAAAGACAAGTAAAAACTAAGGGTTTTAACACATAAAAATAAGTTTCAATGTTTAAATCATTTCATGAAACTCAGCATATAAAGGAATTTCTGAAACACTAATTTTGTGAAAATAAAAAGAAGCACTATCAACCATATGTTACAGACAACATCAACTTTATCTTAGGTGCTATCATATATTATGTTATCATGAGTTAAGTAGCTTGAGTAGAGAAGGAAAAGAAACCCTCTGTATATCCATTATGTGCACTGCATGCTTTAAGATTATTTTAACTTACTCAACACAGTCCTAAAACGTAAAGAAAATAGGTAGGAAAGAACTTTTTAACAGAACCAGTGCACTGTTAATGAACTTGGCATAAAAGTGATACCACAAGAAAACTGGCATTAGTTTTATTCCAAAGATCCAAAAAAGTTAGAACTACTCTGCATGGAACAAGGAGAAACAAGATATATCAGAACGTTAAGTAAGATGACAAGAAGGTGGGGAGACAGGAGCAGATCAAGGTGGGGTGAAGGGCCAATAAAATCCAAGAGTGCAATGGCTAAAATACATTTTAAGAACAGTGATGTAGTAACCATAGCTTCCCTTATTTGCTGAAGTCTACCAAGCTCCCCAGAGATTTTTGCTTGGGCATGTGAAAATAAGGACAAGAACTTAATGTCATACCTGGGTTAAAGAGACTAGAAACAGAAGCAGCAATGGTGGAAGCAAAGGTTCAGAAGCAGAAATGGTCATGAGAAAAAATTTCTACATAATCTAGTAGAGGACTCTGGATTTCCAATAGTTATAAAATTATGTAGGAGTAAGAAATGTTGAGATAATTTTATCTAAAATTTAAGGGACAGGGAGAGCCATTAGACTACAAACAAAAGTAATAATATTCAAAAGAGTTAGATAATTTTACTATAGTCATTGTGCTAAAAGGGCAAAAAAGATTAAATCCAAACTGCTTCAATTCTAAGATCCATTTGCTGCAGCATAAAAGCAAAAAGATCATCATCCATGACTAAACAGGATTAATCCCATGGATATTTTAATGCTAGAATGTTTATTAGAATACATATTACATTAACAGATTACATAACAAGTTAAATCTTATCTTCTCAAAATAAAGTGATGTGATAAAATTCAACAAATATTTGAAAATCTTAAAAACAACAAATACACTGAGATTTTCCTTAGTTATTAAAACTGTTTGTAATCTTTGAAATAGCATACATTAATAACTCTCCAAATAGCTGAAAAGAAGTATATTTAAAACCAACAGTCAACATTATACATAAAATAAGACATGAAGGACAATCCTACAAAAGCCAAAATAAGAATGCCACATTCAATTTAGTAAAGCACCGTTTCAAAAGTTCTATGAAAAAAAGAAAGAAAAAATATGAATATTAATATTGAAAAAAGGTGAGATTCTTAAAGAACATGCATTAAAAAATTTAGAGAACTTCAAATTATTACCAATACCCACTCAAAAAAAAATAATGGAAGCCAGGCGTGGTGGCACATGCCTGTAATCCCAGACACTTGGAAGGCTAATGCAAGAAGATTCCAAGTTTAAGGCAAGTTGGGCAACGTAGCAAGACCCTGTTTCAAAATAAAATTTTAAAAAGTTTGGAGACATAGCTCAGTGGTCCAGCACTTGCCTGGCATCTGTGTGGGACCTTGGGTTCAATCCCCAGTACCACAAAAAAATATACAAATATATAGTTACGTATGTAGGGGAAATGATGCTACAGTAACATACACAAATTATCTAAGAATAATATAATTTTCCCCTTGTGAAGAAACACTATTACATGCTATAAAACAATATAATAGGTAATTAAACGGGAAGTCCAAATATTGCAATCATATCATTTTTCTAAATGCTTAATGTAATTCCAATAAAAATCCCACCGGGATCCTTCTTGAAACTTGAAAAATGATTCTAAAATTCATCTGGAAAAATAAATAAGCCAGAACAAATATTGGTATATGGAAAATAAAAGCAAGTAGAGGTCAGGAGGGTATTAAATTAATTTAAGACATTCAACCATGAATATCTATATATAAATTAGTACCAGCTCAAGAAAGAAAATACTCAGCACCACACAGAATACTTTACGTCCATTATATCACTTTATCCTCACAATTCTACAACATAGGATTATTCAGTTGATAGGACAATTTGCTAACAATTTTCAAGACTTATTAAGAACCTTGGTAATCTTTCTTAACTGGAATTCTTTATCTCAAACACAGAATATAGAAAAATGACTTCAGTCATTATTTTCTCATTTCTCCCATGGACATATCCTGATACTATTCTACACGGAAGTTAATTTCATAGTAAATAATAAATGTCTTATTGCATTAAAGTTTAATCCTCCTAATGTTAAGAAAAGCTATCTTAAACCACAAATATTGTAAATAAATTAAAAACAGACAAGACAAAAATTCATAAGATAAAAAAACAAATAAGAAAATAGAATGGATTTAAAAATACAGACTTTACTAAACTTAGAATACAGAGCAAGGCATGGTGGCACACTCCTGTAATCCCAGAAACTCAGGATTCTAAGGCAGGAGGATCACTAGTTCAAAGCCAGGCTAATAAGCAACTCAGAAAGACCCTAAGCAACATAATGATATCCTGTCTCAAAATCTAAATAAAAGTTCTGGGATGTAGCTCAGTGGTTAAGTGCCCCTGGGTTCAATCTCTGGTACCAAAACAAAAAACAAAACAAAAAAGAAATCACACATACACACAGAAAAAAAATTCAACAGACTTTACTCACATAAAAATGAATCCTGCCAAGCATGATGGCTAAGTTTGTAATCCTGAATACTCAGGAGGCTGAGGCAGGAGGATCACAAGATTAAGAACAGCCCTGGCAAATTAGTGAGACTCTGTCTCAAAATTTAAAAAAGGGGTAGGGATGTAGCTCAGTGGTATAGTGTTCCTTGGCTCAATCCCAGCACCACTACAATAAGAACAAAAAAGTTAATCTTAAGCATTCTGAGAATAAATACTAAATGACAAACTGGGGGAAAAGGATCAAACAAATATGAAGGTTAGTTAATACCTTTAGCACATGAAGAATTAAGGATATTACAAAAAAAAGTAAACATAAAATAATAAAAAATATTAACAAAGTACAGCACCAAATTAAAATAAGACTCTATTAAACTTGTTAAATTTCATATAAATTACATACTACCTAATCCTGGTTGAGAGTAAAGGGAAAATGGAACACTCAGATACTATGATGAGAACGTAAACTGATATAATCTTTCGGAAAAGTATTTTGGCAATACTTCATCAAGAACTAAAACAGAGTTCTGACCTAAAATTTATAAATCTCCATATCCAACCTAAGAATACAACCTTAAATTTAAGATTTTACTAAATGTCAAATGACAGGATGCATGTTATTAGACAAATTGTCCTATACCCACAGGTAGACTACTAAGCCCCCTTTAAAATATATAATTACAAAGGCTAAACAACATAACATCTTTATAGTGTAAAAAGTCACATAATATTAAGAGGAAAAAGCAGTATGAAAATTGTATACAGACTTTTAAAAAATAGGAAGTATACTAAAGTGCTTTTATTAAACTAATTATTGGTTACAGGGTAGAAATGAGATTACTTTTTCCCTCTTTTCTCTGATTTATATATATTTAAGCAATCATTTGTATTATTTTTAACCTAGAAGTATATTTAGGGCCTTTTAAAATAGTTAATACCCTAAGAGAGTTATTTCCAGTGAACTGAAACAACTCATTTAAACAAAATGTTCTGCAACAACTGTTTTCTAGAAGTAATGACATTAATATTAATGTCAGTAATATTAAAGGAGCTCCAAAAATACAAATGCAATAGAGGTGTTAGTGTACTTTTTAGAAAGTACTAAAAACATCTGGTGGCAGAGTTCTTGCCTGGCATATAGGGTCCTAAATTCAATCCCTAGTCTGACCAAAAAAAAAAAAAAAGTATTAAAAGGAAATTGTATTTTTTTAATATTTATTTTTTAGTTTTAGGTGGACACAATATCTTTATTTTTATGTGATGCTGAGGATTGATCCCAGTGCCTCATGCATGCTAGGCGAGCACTCTATCACTGAGCCACAAACCTCAGCCCCCAAAGGAAACTGTTTTTAAATGCAAATTAGACAGCTAGGGATATAGTTTAGTGCTAAAGTACTTGCCCASCATGAAGAGGCCCTGGGTTCAATTCCTAGTACTGCACAAATAAGTAAATAGGTTAGAAGATTAAATTATGATATTTAAGTAAAAATTCTCATRTGCTAGCTTTTTCTTCAAATACAGTATGCTGTTCTTTCTTTTTTTGTGTGTTTTGTACTGGAGGTTGAAACCAGGGCCTCACACATACTAGGCAAGTATTTTATCCCTGAGCTACATCCCCAACCTACATGTTTTACTTTCTGTCAAAACAACAATAAAGTAAACTCACTTTAAGATAAATTAATTAACAATATATTTGCAGAAGGTCTTACATTCTATTTCTGAATTACAATAAATTTCCTATAGCCAGCTACGGTGGTGGCCCACACCTGTAATCCCAGAAACTCAAAGGATGAGGCAGGAGGAGTATCTCAAGTTTGAAGTCAACCTCAGCAGCTCAGTGAAGCCCTAAGCAACTTAGCAAGATGCTGTGTCAAAATAAAAAATTAAAAAAGGGCTGGGATGTGACTCAGTGGTTAATCACCCCGGTTCAATCCATGATATTTAAAAAAAAAAAAAAAAAAAAAAAACCTTAAATGAAGAACTTGTTCTAAAGGTGAATTTATATATCAATGACTAAATACTATTAAGTAAGTTTCTAAAACAGTTCAAAAATTGTACATTATAATTATTTGGGGAAAAAATTATAGAATTTTTAAAAATCTTTTAAAAGACTATTTACTAAAGTATTRTCTACTGTTAGTAAAATAATTTTGTCCACTGTTATACTGCAATTGCCATATAGAATATTAACTTA